TATACATTCAGTTCTTTAGGTCTATTTCTAGGTTCTAAATGATTCTTGTTTTGGTAGTCTGGCCAACCTGGACGCAGATGTCTATGTTTCTTATAACACTCTTGAGTTTCGATATCAATCTGACCACAACCCCAACAAATGTCTCTTCTTAAGACTTCTGGACATAGATGTAATGGGTGATTTGCCGAATCACAATTAACGCATATGGGGTATCGCCGGGAGTCTAGCCCTTGGAGTGTCATAAGCGTTGGCCTGATAGCGTCTTTAAATTCGACTTTATCTAAGTTCTTTCGAACATCGGTTTGTGTTACTACTAAGTGGTATTGCCACGCCACGAATCTCTCCTGATGCCGGGTTTGCGGGCTTGTTTTCCAGCTCTCAGTGGTATCTGGTAGGCTGATATAGCCGAGTTGCGCAAGAACGGCTGCATCTGCTGCTGTAAGTTCGCCACGGATATACTTACGCTGGAAATATGGCGAGTGATTCGTTCGAGGTATATTGTTGTAATGGATAGGATGATTATCATGCTCAGCAGCATTATAGTACACGATACTATACTCAGACGGTATATCCGGTATAGGTAACGCTGCCCTGTACCTCGTGCCTGTAGTCGTGTGAAGAACAAACCGTGTTTTTCCATAGTAGATATTTAGGTCTTTTTCTAATGAGTTTAAGTAACAATGAAACTTAAGACCATAAACTTGGGTATTAACGTAAGGACGTAAACGTGCGTCAGGTGGTATCGAGTAAAACTCGCGACTTACGTCTGCGTCTGAGTCTCGTCGACTGCTATGAGAGTAATCGCCTTCAGATATTTGTAGGAATGAATATGCTAGTGGTAAGGACGGGGTAGGTGCACGTACGGGTATTCTAGGTATTCTAAGTAGTGATGCCGCCCGTAACGCTGGAATTGTAGACTCGGGCTCGAATGCCGGGAGTCTCAGACGTGTCATATTACGTCTTTCATCGCATCTGACTAAACATATAGAAAGCTCTTTTAATTGAATTCGTCGAGACTTTCTAGCTCTAGCTATGGGATAATCTATCGCTAAAGATGTAAGATCTTCTTCTTCGTCTGATTGATGTGACTCATGTGATGTAGTGTTTAATGTTTTTAAATCATGCTGACGTCGTAGCTCTCGGAGCATACGAGCAATCTCACCTTCCTGTCTCGATGTGGATGGTGAATCTGACCTGAAAAATAAAAATGAGCCCAGTCCAATCACTTAGTACGATACTTGAGGGAATTGACGTGGTAAAGACCCACTTTCTTCCCTTTTGCATCATGGAGAAGTGCTAATTGTGGCCGAGGAAAAGATTTTATGTAAGCTGGCCCTACGTATTTCTTAGCTAGTTTAGCAGAATAGCTTTTAACTGCTTGGCTTAGTCTTTTATAAGGATAATAGACTTCGTCACCTATTGATAATTTACGCATAGGTACAGGTTGAATATACGGTTCAATTGTACTTCTCTCAGCTAGTTGACTCGAGGGGGTTTTTTGGACTTCTTCCAAACATAAAGAAGTACGGTGTAAATCCTGTTTCTGAATGTACAGATGTATTGTACGCGTATTCTAATTCTAATAGATTCTCTTCCCATTCCCTATGATCTAAGTCTTCTAAAAATGAGATGTTTAATGGTTCGATTAACTTTTTCGACAGGATTTGCCTGGGGCCACCCTAGAGGAGTATTGATTAGTTTTGTATTGTATTCTTGACTTAATTGTTTTATGGACTTATTTACATACTCTGTTTCGTTGTCAGTAATTATTTGATCTGGAATACCAAATTGAAAAATTACAGAACGAATAAATTTATCAACCTCTTTCGCAGTATTATTTCTAACTCCACCTATACGTATGAACTTTGTGTAAATATCCAAAATGACTATAGCATATCTATTTCGATGTTCGGACCGCGGGAAAGGTTCGGTGGTGTCAATTGATCAAATAAACCACGGGTTAGTTCTAGGTCTTTTACCTGCGTAGTTGACTATCTCCATCTGACTATATTTTGATCTAAAACATTCGGAACAATCAGATACATATTTTCTAACAATTTCTGTGAGTCTGGGAAAGAAGTAATGTTCCCTAACTCTATCGTCGGTCTTAGTTATTCCCATGTGATCTGCAAGCTTGTTATTATGGAATGCGAATGAAATTTTCTGAATCGTGGCTTCATCTGGAGGTACTTTTTTCCAGTAGTTTTCCTCGATCGGTGAGGTAAGGTCACTAACATGAAAGAAAAATTCTTTATTGACTATTTTTCACGATGGATATTTCTTTGGAAATTTATTAACTTGTTTATATCGGTTTTCGTACCAAAGATTATACGGGATCCTAGATTTTTCTTGAATCTTATCCTGATTATCGCTATTTGACTTTTTGTCGTCTGACTTCATAGATAAAGCATAAGAGAAATCAGGGATATCTTGGTAGGCTATTCGCGAAGGTGTGTTATGATTAGCTGACTCATCAAGATCTTCAAACGCTCTAGATAAAGCATCTGGTGCTTCATTAACTGTTCCTCTATAATGATCGATGGTAATACCAAACATAGACAATAATAAGGCCCATCTAGCTAGTTTACCTTTAAGACTAGTAGCTGTCGTCAACGATGTTAAGGCAGAATGATCAGTAAATACAGAAAATGGAACTCCTTCAAGGAAGTGTCTAAGTTTACTGACCGACCAAATGACTGCTAAACACTCTTTTTCAGATGTATGATAATTTCTTTCTGCTGGTAGAAAAGGCCTGGAGATACAAGTAATTGAATACTCAATATCTTTTTCTACATAAGTTGTTCAAAAAACCTTGGATGTCCGCGACCATTTTCAGGTGTCTATGGTACCAATTTATCATACCAAGAAATCGACGAAGTTGTTATTTTGCTGTAAATATCTTTCCATTCATTGATACTTTGAAGTTTTTCGTACCAATATTTTCTATCTACATAAGCTACATGAGTTTCTCCGGGTCTCATACTCTCGCCGGCTCGTGTAGGGAAATATCTTACAAACGTATATTTGAATTCCGTCCAAGATTTAATGATATCGGCTTTAGATACGTACCATGACTTAACTACGCCTCGCAAGACTAATTTGGCTATCTCGCCGTATTTTTCGATGCAGTTATTCGACGCTAATTGACTTTCTAAATCCTTAAGAAATATTATAGAATCTACTTTACTATCCTCCGTGCCGTCGTACGATAAATTCCACGTTTGCAGACGGTTGAATCCCCGCTTCCGCTCTCAAGCCTTCCAACCCTGCTCGTGTTATGGTGTTAGACAAGGTCAGGTCCTCGGTATTAATATTGTTAATATCCATTTCGTTTAATTCTATCCCTCTGCTTTCCGCAATGATTTTTTTGCGTTTTCTTTTTGTTGTTAAAGTACGTGTATCGATGCATTTAGGTTTACCGTATGGGGCTGATAACTCTAATTAGCGTTTTAACTTTTACATTAGACCGGTAATATAATTAATATTCTATTTCTATTTTAGAATAATGAATGATTTTATTTCTAGAATATTCTGCGTAAACAAATTTTTTCTTTGTTCTTTTTTCCTTTTTGTAGGGAAAAATAAATTGAACAAAACAAAAACGTTTTACAAACGTATTCGACAAACGCACAATAAATTAATGGTTGATTTAGCCAAAGGCTAAATTCAGTTATATCTGTTAATAAAATTATTAATAATTATTTCTAGACTAAGTATTGAGACAATTGTACTTTGGGTAGATTATTTTTAACTGCCAAAATTATGGTGCGATTATATTAATAATTTCAATAATTCAGTAAATTCAATAAATTCAAAAAATTATAACTTCAATAAATTCTGTTCGAGCGCCATTGATATATGTGGGGAGAAGATCTTTAATTTTTAATGAGGGTGATCACGATCCCCGTGTAGTTGGATGGATGATTCTATAGATCATCAACTATCCTAACAGTTTTCCATACAAATTCCACTTTTGAGAGCAATCCAAATACGACTAAAATGACTTCAACTGAATCAAATGATTTGCTTGAGCAATAAATACAATTCAGGGAAAATAATATTACTGTAAGGTTTTGGAAGATGTCTTAGAATGTCCCGCCTTCCCCTGCACTTAGCCACAGGGTCTGTTTGCACAGTAAAGGCGGTCGTTTTATGTCTTAGGCCTGCAGGTTCCCTAGGTTCCCAAGTTGCCTTGGTTCCCTTCTGAGCCCCGAAACAGTCCCTGTCGATTTCCAATATATATATATATATATTATGGTGGTACGAAAGAACGTTATTTCTGCCTTTGGAGATTCCGCTAAGCCCCATGGGTCCCCCGGTTTCCTCACAGCCCAAAAATAGTACAATTGCGTCAATATTAGCCGCCCTTTAGTCTAGTCAATCACCCTTAATTGTATTAAGAAACTGGCTGGACTTACATGACTTGATCCGTGACGTTTGGAATGCAACTCTGGACACTGGGTACAAGTATAAATATGGAATCACATTGATAGTAATTGCACACTTCTTCAATTATTTCTTTATACACTTCATTTGATCTGATAAAATAAGTATTAGTATATTGCAACAAAAAACCTATAACTAGCAAACTTTTTCTCAAAGTATGTGTCGTTAACATATTTTCATGCACTATTTGTCTGTTTATATTAGCTCCTTGGAATATCAATTCTCTTCTGTGGTACCAGTTATGCGACAACGTGTCAGAGCATAATATATGTTCTATCATACTATGATAAACAATACCGATAAGAGTTATAACTGATTGAAGTTCAATTCAACTGATATTTTAATTTTGTATTGTCATGAAATTTCATGAGCAAATTCATTTTTTTGCAAAAGATAAAATAGCAATCAACGTGCAATAATAAAATATACATTGTAAAATGAAGAAGAGTATTATATTACTTGTTTTACTACTGCATTCATTTTAATGATTTTTCTGTTACAATATATTATTAAAATACTAACAATCAGTCGTAATGAATCAATAAATTAGTCATTCATTCAACCTCAACATTGAACATTTTAGTATTTTATATTTATGCATTAATTATTCGCTTAACTTATTTTATTGTAAATTTTATCTTTAGGATATATCTTCACAATTGTTTGAAGATTACTTTTTCTTATAGATTGCACTCTCTGATATTTCTGTTTCGATATTATTTTATGAATAAGTTTTTCACATCCAAGTAATACAATACTTAAAATGCAACTCCCTAAAAAGAAGTAAACAAGTGGGATCACTCGAAGAAAATCCACAGATTCGTATGTGGGTTTTTCCTATGGAGAATTTTAAATTAATGTACTATTCAATGTGTTTTAAGTATTATTAAACTGGTTCTTACGTTTAGTGTTGAAGATGCAGGACGGGTCCACTCATACATAATTTTGTTGATCACACCATTATTTTTTAATAAGTATATGCTGAAATATTTGAAAGATTATTAACAGAAACTTTAATAAGTTTATTTTTTATATTAACCCACTAGTGATTGATTAATCCACGATATGGACTGTTACGTGGTAGTCCAATAGCTGCAGCTGTTTGGCGTACAAGATTGGATTTAATCAAAGTACAGTTTTTCATTTGGAATTGCAATGCAACAGAAATTGGAGCAATAAATGAATATTTCTTCTCATTACATACACGTTGTAATCCTTCCATGTAAGACATTGGTAAAGAAGACTCTTTTGATATTTTTTTGTCATAAATATAATGGACAATATGATTTTTAGATTCCTAAAATTATTCCAGAGTCTTTTAATAAATATAAAGTGAATAGGGATAATTTTAATTTACAATTTTCTCACTCGAAAGAAATCATGTAATGCAGAGTTTTTTAATAATCCAATTCGATAAGATTTATCATAAAGAAGATCTTTCAATGTTTGGGGACTGGCAGAAGGTACATTAAGTGTTAAGAAACTGACAAGAATTCCTGAATAAGCTGTACATATAATCATTGCTGTTACGTGAATAGTAAATGAGATAACTTTTATGGAATTAATCGAAGATATTGGCATTCCTGTAAAAAATGGTTAAAGTTAACTTTGAAAGAGTTGAATTATTCTTCTGAAGTTACCTTGATTGCAGTATGTTCCAAAGATATACATAAAAATTTCTTCAGGACGTCGGTAATCTTGTATATGGAGACATTTTCTCTGATAAACTATCACAATAAAAATTAGCAGAGCACTATTAAGAATAATTGAACATACAATACTAAACCAAACAGTTGAATCCAATGGTTTGAAGAACGTTTTCCATGGTACAATTGGTTCATTTTTGAAGAAAAAAAATTCGCTGAAAATTGTTTTGACATTATTTTATTAAACTGATAATGTTATAAACATACCTGCTTAGATAAACTGGTGTTGTAAAATGTATTGATTCTGCTCTAGATGAAGTCATTCGTAAATTAGTTGGAAATATATCAGAATCATTGTTTACCAAGGTTGCCATACCTCCTATCCAAGAACCATTATTCAATTTAATACCATAATTAGATACTACAAGGTAGGTTGAGCTATTTTTTATCGAAAAAAGAAAGAAAGTGATACATAAAATTGAAATGAACTAACATCTACAATAAAAATGACTGATTTTTAAATACTTACGAAAAATTGAGATAATGTTCTAGTAATTCCATAATAGATCCAAAAATACCTTTAAATTTAATATTATTGTTCTTATCCACCGTGATGATTGAATTAGGAATAGACTAATTGAATGTTCAAATGATATGAATTTATTGAAATTATAAGTACTTATGAAATAATAATCAATAATAATGAATTTTATGTAAAAATGAATTACTTACATTAACTAATGTAACACGTAATGAATGGCCATACAAATTATGTCTTCGTTGATATAAATCTAAATTAGATAATTTAATCTTAGTTCGATAACTCCAATGTCCAAGAATGCTGTACTTTAATTGTGTACTTTTTGCTACTTTATATATTTCCCAGATAGTTTCATTATTCTTATGCTGGAATATATTTTTTTTTGATACCATGAATCGACAATTAAACGGTATATATAAGTCTTCAAAGTATTCATCAATTTTAGTATCACTTTTAAAGAAAATTAACCAGGCTGGATCAGATATTTCTGTTAAAGGTACTAATTTCTGTAAAAATCGAGTTAAAATACTTATTTGATCATTTTATATTCAATTTTAAAAATTACTTACATTTTTGAATTGAGTCCTCAAGCTATCTGAATCATCCAGAAATACCATAAGTTTATTTTCCAAGTTTCTTAAAGTTTTAGGATCCTAATTAATCAAATTTTTATTATATACATATATGTATTGAGCCATATTTTATTGCTCAAATATTTATTACAAAATAATAAATTAACTAAATAAAAAAGTATTTACTTTTTACTTACTTGTTTTATAAAATTGTCAATATTTGTGATGAGAACCTGGATCATATGTCTATTTAAATCTATGTAAAGACTTCTTAAATTTGTTGAAACGTCGACATCTATATAACTACCTGTGAGTACAAAATAATAACTATTAATATATTATGATATAAAAATACAAACAATGAGTCATACACTTATATTAATTTACCTTGAATTGATGAATAATTCTGATTTGAATAAAATATAATAATAGATTTGCATTGATAGTATTGACATACACCTTGTATAATACTCTCATACACTCCAATAGACCTAATTAAATTAGAATTAGCCGATCTCAATAAAATTACTATTAACATAAGTACTACAGGTAGATCCATCATTATTATAAATTAATGGTTACTGTATATTTTTTAATTTAGCAAAAAATCCCTGTTAAATATCATCGCAATGAATAAAACTGTATTATAGGAAAGTTACAACAGATATGTGATCATGAAATAATCTACATAAATGTGTAGTTTTGTACATAAAGATCGTTAAACAAGCATGACAAATCACATTAATCGGTTCTTTCGATAAAAGTAGAATGATAATCTAAATATTTGTAAATTTCATCGTTGGTATAATAAAGTAGCTTCCACGCAAATTGGTAATAAACTAGAAAATCGATCAGTCCAGTTTTAATGTTATAGAAACAATAGTTTATCTTTTACTTGATCAATAAATATATTGAATAATAAATTTATAATGATTCGAAATATTAATAAGATTCTGATAGATTTTATAGAAGAAAATTGGTTTATTACAAAGAATATTGTTTTAATTATAAAAATAATGTTTGAGAATGTCTGGATAATAATTGGAAAAGTAAAACATGTTTTTGAAAAGATTCATTTGCAACATAAAATATACTATTTTTTTGTTATTATTTACGAAATAATTGGTAGTCCTCCTTTTCTTAAAAAACATCAGTAAATATTTATTGCATCAGTTTAATGCTATGAAGATCATTTAATATTGACTAGAGTTAATGAGAAGCCAAACTCTTTTCTACTATAAGACTTCTTTCTACACATTTTCTTTTTAATTCGGCAAATTCTTCTTCAGGCAATAGACCTTCAACTATTAGAATTTTTTTTTTTAGGCTTACTCATATTTTTTCTCCTTCTAAAACTTTCTTTAACATTCTGAATTATTTTTATAAAATGTTCTACATGTTTAGATTTTACTCTTGTTGTTTCATCTTTTTTCTCCATTTGTTTTTGACTTGCCAAAACTTGATCTAAGATCAGATCATCTTCAATTTCTTCAGGTTTTGTAGGCTCAGCATGAAGTAAATGCCAAGGAACAGATGAACGTTTATTATTTCCATTTTCGATCGATGAAATAATTGTACTTGTATCTGACTCTGAATCAATAACTTTAATAAACCCAACAGACTTGTCCACTATAGGAAATTTAGCTTCATAATTATTTTGAGCCTTTTGATTTAATTTAACATGCTTAGTTAAATTAAAATATGTCTTCTTTTTAGTAATTCTAGATTTTTTAAGCTTCGTCATTTCTTCATCTGTCGTGCTTTCTTCATCACTAAGAACCATAACAGCTTTTGATGTTTTCTTTTTTATTTATAGCTAAGATCTCAATGTTGAGAGTATAAATATATCTGAAATGAGAACTGTGACCCAAAAAAAATTAGTCTAAAATGGGAAAAAAACTATCGACGAGGATGGGATTCGAACCCACGCGTGCAGAGCACATTGGATTAGCAGTCCAACGCCTTAACCACTCGGCCACCTCGTCCCATGACAGAATGATTTCATAATGCTTTACTTTATATGAAATTTTTTTAGAAAATCAACTTACACAATTTTTCACGTTATAAATTATTTACATATAAAAAATAATAAATAAACAAACAAAACTCTTTTATACTTTGAAATAATTAATAAAAATTCCAAAAATGTATATCAAATTCACTGATAATAATACCATTGAAAATAACTCATCAATGATAAGAGAAAATTGTTTATGATAAAAACAATATGTCAATAATATCGTACTACTTCATGTCGTAAACTTACTTTCAAATACCCAATGATACTTAAGATTTAATATCTTAGAGAGGGAGAGAGATAACCTTAATGATAAAATTCAGAGAAAATTTATTTCCTTGATGTTTTAGTAATCGTACAGTTTATTATTCATTATTATTTAATGAAGATATTCAACATTAGAAACTTAATCAGCGTGACTAAAAAGACATATCCTTCTCTACATTAATATTAAAGTAAAACTTCTGTATGATTAGAGGATAATCACTCACAGATGACGAATCAAATAACAGTAGTCAACAACTGGTTGCACAACTTTTTTCTTCTTCTTATTATAATCCAGTCAGATTAAAAACTAACGCCAAAAAGTAAGTTCTAGTGCATTAACATGGACATACTTAATCCAACTTTTGTTCCAATTTACGAAAAAAAAATTCAAGAGCAATTAAATAATGAATTTAAACGACTTGAAGGAGAGTGTTATACTGATCATGCAGGTGCAACATTGCATTCTGATTCACAGATGGTGAAGATTTATCAAGATCTTTCATCGAATATCTATCCAAATCCACATTCAGGCGGAGGATCAGGTAATCTTACTCAGGAAATCACTGAAAGAACCAGATATAGGTAATTATTATGACTTGATTATCTTTTAAACGAGTAATGAATTATTATGTAACCTCATTTTATGCTTCTTTTTTTAATTAAATAGAATATTAGATTTCTTCAATGCTTCTTCAGATGATTACAGTTTAGTATTTACTTCTGGCACTACAGCATCATTGAAGTGCATTGCAGAAACGTTTAAATTTAAAAGTACCAATCAATTTAAAGGGAATTTTGTCTATCTACAAGATAATCACACATCAGTGTTAGGAATGAGAGATGTAGTTGCTCAAAAAGAAGCTGAAGTAAAATGTTTGAATCATGATGCAGCTTTTGATGTATTTTCTAAAAATAGTGAACAATTTTGTAACCATTCAGAGACAACTGATAACTCATTATTTGTTTATCCAGCACAATGTAATTTTTCTGGATTTAAATATCCTCTAACATGGATTAATCAAGTACACAAAGGAATGTTGAATAAACTAATTAATAGAAAATCCAATTGGTTTGTTCTTCTGGATGCAGCTTGTTTTGTAGGAACTAATCGGCTAGATTTAGCTATATATAAACCTGATTTTGTCGTGATTTCTTTCTATAAAATGTTTGGATATCCCACTGGCATTGGTGCATTAATAGTTAAAAATACTAGTATTGATTCTCTGGAAAAGATTTATTATGGCGGTGGAACAGTCAACATGACGTTGAGTCTGCAAAATTATCATGTTAAAAGAGAAGTCTTTCATGAAAGGCGAGTTCAATAATAATAATAATAATAATAACAATAATAACGACAAAGATTTAACAAACTAAAAATTAATTAAATTTTAATTAAAACATTACTTAATTACTTATTAGGTTTGAAGATGGTACAATTTCTTTCCTTTCCATTATTTCTCTTCAGCATGGATTCGATGCACTTTCAATGATTTCAATGGATAATATATCAAATCATGTATTTTCTCTTGCTCAATATCTTCATCATTCTCTTTTGACACTACATCACCACAATGGCAACCCAGTTGTCAAGCTCTATACAGACTCAGGTTATCAGAATAAAGAGTTTCAAGGTGGTATTGTGGCTTTCAATATCTTGAGATCTACTGGAGAATATGTGGGCTATATGGAAGTACTTCACATGGCAGCACTTTTCAAGATCCATTTGAGAACTGGATGCTTCTGTAATCCTGGTACTTGTCAAAGACACTTGAATCTCTCCAATAAAGATGTCATGAATAATTATGATTCTGGTGTTAAATGTGGTGGAGGAATTGACTTGGTTAATGGAAAACCTACTGGTGCAGTGAGAATTTCATTTGGATACATGTCTACTATTGAAGATGTGAAAACAATACTTTTAATGATTCGTAAGTGCTTTTTAGATTCTCCAGAAGTAAGAAAAATTCCTAGGTGGTATGAGAAAAAAAGTATTACATGGAGTAATCAGTATCAAGATGAAGACGTTGAAGCAGATGATTATGTAGAAAATAAAGAAAAAATAAAACAAGACATTAGAAAAAATTCAGAAACATTTAAAAATGCAAACATTGATGGAGAAAATAAGTTTTTAAAATTGTGTAATATATTTATTTATCCAATTAAATCTTGTGGAGCTTTCAAAGTAGAAAATTCATGGATCTTGACAAGTAAAGGACTTCAATATGACAGGGAATGGATGATCACAACGGCTGCTGGAATTTGTTTGACTCAGAAACAAGAAGTAATGTTGTGCTTGATCAAGCCCATAATTTGCCTTCAAAACAAAGTAATGAAATTGGATTATCCAGGTAGTGTTGTTAAATTAACTATTTAATCAAATGAATAGGCAAAGACTGCGAGAAATATTTACTATTTCAGGTATGCCAACAATCCAGATACCTTTAGATGATACGCCTAAGGATAGAATTAATGGGGAAATGTGTCGAAGTAGAGTTTGTGGACATAGGGTTGAAGGAGTTGATTGTGGAATAGAAGTTGGGGAATGGCTCAGTCTTGCTTTAGGTCGACCTAATTTGAAATTAATTCGTCAGCATAATTTTGATAAGCCTTCGATGCAATCTAAACCAGAGTTATCATTTTCTAGTCAAGCACAATACCTACTGATTAATAAAGCAAGCATTGAGTGGCTTGCTGATAAAATTTCAGAAGATTCCGATTGTGATAAAAACTCTATTCTAGATCGTTTTAGAGGAAATTTGATTGTTGAAGGAGGTTTACCTTTTGAAGAATATTCTTGGACTCAAGTAAAGATAGGAAAAGAGATTTTTGAGGTAAAATCGACAAATATTTGTAAACAAAAAAAAACAGTGAAAAAGAGTAATAAAATTAATTGAATTTATAGGTCAATGGTCCTTGTACTAGATGTCAAATGGTATGTGTTGATCAGAATACTGGACAAAAAACAGTAGAACCACTTAGATTATTAGCAGAAGAATTTCATGGAAAAATGAAGTTTGGTATTTATTTAAGTAAGAAAATTAATGATTCAACTATTATTTCTCTTGGTGATTCTGTGACTATTACTGACTCAAATAGTAAACCACATTAAACACCATAAACTTTTAAATATTTGCTAAAAAGAAATATATTTTCATTGCATGAATTAAATAATTATTTACAGCTTGTATTGTTATGCGACTAATTTTTGTGATAAAAATAAATAAAGATACAAAATAATACCTGATAAAATATAATATTCATCATGATAAAACACAATTTATAGGCTGTTGTTTAGTTATTTGTCTTGGTTTTTGTCCTTCTGAAACTTCTTTCACTACATCAATCACTTCTGAAAATCTTGGAAATGCCATTGTTTGACGCTTTGAATAAACTAGTTCGTCATTTATTGTTACTTCAAAAGAGCCTGTCATAAATAAAATATCTTCATAAATAATTCATTAATATATATTAATTTATAGATGAAAGATGATGCCACCTTGTCTTCCAGGAGCTCCTGATATTTGAACTTCTGGTACACCTTGTTTCAATAATTCTGCAAGTTCTAAAAATTGTTTTCGATGGCCACATCCACCACTGAAAATAGATCATTTTTTTATTAATTTCCATTCATATTTCAATTATCAACTCATAGTTTTTCTAATATGAAGTATGTGTTTATGTTTTGCTGAAGAGGTTAGTTTTCTATATTATTATGATTGAGAAGCTTTTTTAACATTACCAATAGTATTTTTGTGATTTTTCAAGTTTCTTACCAATATTCGACATTAATTTTAACACCTGCCATATAAATAAATAAGTCAAAAATATGATAACTTCAAATATTAGTGAACAACTTGTTATGTCAACTTTATTGTTTTGATGGAGATACAAACAGATAAATATGCCATAAATTCAAGGCGGTAATATTTATAAGTTTCAACCTCTGGTAAAAATAGACATGTTCTAAAGTATAATTTCTTCAACATTCTCGCATCAATTATTCTATAAACTTATATAATTAATTGCAAAAATTTGTGAAATATATTAAACAAAAATAATCATTCAAAATATTTTTTTATCAAATTTTCTTTATTAAATGTGAATATAAAAGTTAAAACGTAAATACTAGTTAATTTCCAAAATCATCAATTTGATTATTATTTTCATTTGTACCGTTACAAAGTTCATCACTTCTATTACACGTGAGACCTTGTGCACACGGACAGAAAATGTAATGAACTTTTTTTAAATGAATTTGACTACCATCAGGATAGCCTAAAGTAACATTAAACAATGGAGTAGACATAGGTCTACAGAATTCATCTCTTTCTAGCAATTTTTTACACTGTGGCACACTGTATCGAATTGGGCCAATAACACAACATTCATCATTATTACAATCATTGTCATGAGTGCATTCTGATATTGAACTTGGATCAGTTGTCGAGACTCTTCTTCCTCTCTTAGGTAATGCAGAAACGGAAAAAACCCCAAGGAAAAGTAAATAGACCAAAATACCTCGTAGATTCATGATGGATTGATAGCCTTGAACGATAACTATAAAAAAAACAATAAATAATAACGAATGAGAAAAATATATTTCGCAATCATCTTTCTTGATCATCTAAATAGCTATGTAATTATTATATTACATGACTAATGAAGAATAATTTAAAAAAAAATCATCTTTATTTAAACTAATAAATAATTGTATTCTATGTCTGCAGGTTTTGCCTGTTTAGTATTTGCATAGCGTGGGAAGATGATTATAATGTTAATGTAATGTTAGATTCATGCTATAACATCATGCCTGAATGTCAAAAATGGAACTATTATGATTGTAATTGACGTGTAAAAACATTGTGTAGCCTTCACCTTGCTGACAGTTTGAATTAATCATTAGTATTAATAAAGTGACTATTTAATATTCAAGATAATTATTTAGTCTGTTTTATATTTTTTAATCATTTATCAGATATAAAAAGTAGGTGATGATGAAAAATAATAGAATAGTGGTTTATTTGATGATAAAAGAGAAATATTTTAACTAAATTAATGTGAAGATTGAAAAATAAAATGAGAAAATGGATTAAAAATAGTCAAATAATTGTTCAAAAATGTAGATAAATAATTGATCATAGGTGTGTTAAATTTATCTATGACATCAAATGAGATTTTTAAATTGTTTACCTTGTTTAGAAGACTGATTCAAGGATGATAAATTTAACGATAAATTAAATAACAATAAACTTGAACGATTTTGTTGAAATGATTAAGTAAAGTATTTCGATTGATTCTTTTTTGAAAGCTAGTTTTATTCGTCTGCGTGTAATCACTCAATGATGTCTTGATTTTATTTTTCATGAATCTTATAACACCTAACACGATTAACAATTTGAATCTTCACGCATGCGCTTGAATAATGATGTGTGCAAAAAAAAATTCTCAAAAAAAAATAAAAACAATGAAAAAAGGAGTAATCGCTATTATCAACTGCTAGTTGATTACCCATTAAAAAATAGTGTTATGGTTCTTCATTAGGCGAGATAGAGGGAGTGAAAAATCACTTGATCGACTCTCAATTATTTTTAAAAAAATAATTACTCTTGTTGCAACAAAAACGATATTTTTCTGTTTAAATGCTATAATTGATTGATATAATTATTGAGATCAAGTCTCAAATAAAGTTGTTGTCGAGTAATGAGTGTTGGTAAAAAATAGATTTATTATCCTGATTGCCGCCGAACGCCATTGCGCGACCGTGTTTTGATCTCGAAAAAAATGGCGGAGCTCTAAACCTCCTTGGAGCGGTCTTAGATATGTGAAATATCTGTAGAACGTATCTTAATTTGTGATAGATATTGCACAAAAGTTCAATAAATTACATCTTGTGTATCTTTCATGTTATCTCAAGATCATCATGTTCATTCAACTACTTACAACAACGTGTTGAAGTAAAGTTTTTCCAGTAGTGAATTTCCCCCCTGGTGTGAACTTTTCTAAATCGCTAAATATTTTTTAGTGATATAAAACATTAAAACGTATTCTTAAGAATCGTACTAGCAATTAATCAAGGTGATACTATTGGAAATAGACAGAAGAAACACGTTCATTGAATCATCTTTATAACATCAATTGTTTAGTTTGTGCATCAGCAATCTTTGAGCATTAGGTTAGTTTCTGAATAGATTTAGGAGTTAGTGATATTTTATGATGAGCCTAAAATTCATGTCGTGTTCTTTCACGTTCACGATTGACGGTATTATATATATTACCTCTTAAATATTGTGAAAATTAGTGGACAATGGCGTCCACTGACTTTGATGTTGAATACTTTGAAAAAAGACTCCAAACACTTAAAGATTCTCAGGATTCTATTCAAAGTCTTTCATCTTGGTGTTTGGAACGACGACAACATCATAAAAAAATAGTAGCTTCATGGTTACAAGTTTTAAAAAAAGGTAATAACCTTCTCATTTAAGTGCATCTTTGTAAGTATTGATTAAATCATTAATTTTCTGTTGATTTTGCAGTCAAAGTAGAGCATAGACTCACTCTATTTTACTTGGCCAATGATGTTATTCAGTATTCCAAAAGAAAAAACTATGAGTTTGTTGAATCTTGGGGGACTACGCTTCAAAGGGCAACAACAATGGTCAGAGATGAAAAAGTTAAGCATAGAATCCTTAGGATCTTCAAAATATGGGATCAAAGACAAGTCTATGATGAGGAGTTTCTCGCAGATTTATCAGGACTTATTTCAGCAGCGCCTAAAAAAAAATCTGAACCTCAACCTATCAGTGTTCCAGAAGAATTCCAGGCTCCTCTTTTGATCTCAACAATGCGTTCTTGTGCTACGTTGGAACAAGCCACAGATGCTCGATTACGCGATTTACGAGAGAGTAATATTGATATTGACAATGCAGAAGAACTATGTACGTCTCTTAAAGATAGAAGACGTGTAGAAGATGCGGAAAAAGAGGTAGAAGCTGCTGTAAGGAATGTAGAAAATTATGTTCGAGCTCTTGAAGCTGAGATTCGAGAAAGAACGCAGGTATTGGATTTACTTGAACAAGCAGATCAATTTTATGAGACTCAACGGGGAGAAGTTAAGATAGTCGCTAATGTAAGTAATAATATAATTAAATCATAATTAAGTTTTCAATACTAACTATTTTTGATTTATTTTAGGCTTATCGTAACTTTGGCAGTCGAGTGAAGAATTTAAAAAAGAAGTTAGATGAATTATTACCTACTTTGACATCACCAATTCCATCACCGGATATTAATGCCCCTTCACCAAGTCCTGATAGTGATATTGAACTTCCTGGAGAGGACCACAATCAGCAAAGTGTTCCACCGATGGGCCTATATGGTTCTTATGGTCAAGAATATGACGCTGTACCGGTACCCGGAGCAGACATTTCTCAAGGAAATAGTTCCACAGATTTTACGAGTAATTTTTCATCATTTATGGGCGGAAACGTTGATTTTGACATGGTAATTTTTTTACTTTCCATTAATAAGGCATTGTATGAAAATTTAAGTTAGATATTTTGTAAGATGATTTATGAATTATATATATTTTTCAGAGAAATATTTTCAATGACCGATCAATGACTCCGACAGGCAGTAATCATTCATACAATACACCGTCAGAGGTATATATCATTTGAGTAGAAGTAAAAATGTAGAATTTAAAATAAAACAAAACTTTATCTGATTCAGGCAATGCCAATTGAGGTTATAAACATGCGACCTTCGAAAGGGGACGTAAAAGATTTTTCTGCTGCGAATTTTCTAAAGTCAGTTCTTCCAACTGCCGAAGGTGCTCCGAATTCTAGTGGAATTCCGGGTTTAGGTTTAGATGTGCCTGAACCTCGAACTGAGTCTCCACAACGTCCAGATTATGGACATTTACTTGCAGGACAACTTAATCCTGTTTCAGCAGGATCAAGAATATTGAATATGCAAAATACATTGGGAAATCATCAGATGTGTAGGAGTTTAGCAAACGAGTCTCACACATCATCACCGTACTCAAGTCAAGGAAGCCAAAGTAACATCCCATTTGACACATCAACTGCAGCTCCAATTAATCCATTACCACCTCCTCCTTTGCCTCCACCAATTTTCCTCGATGATGAAAACTGCTACAATAAATTACCACCGAAATTCCCGACTTGGACACCAACAAATGAAGGTACGAAGGAATCAACTATATGTAACATAGAAGGTGAGCCTTCGTTCAATTGTATTTACTTCTAATAGCGATATTAATCTTCTGTTTTGTTATGTATTGTTTAGAAAAAAGTATGAATTCCTCTTGGACCAGTGATAATAGTGATAAAGGGAAGAATCAATGGGATGGTAACGATCGATGGGATCCAAATGATCCCGATTGGTCAAATGGTATGAGAGGCAAGGGACCAATTCTCACAGAGACACCTGAGTCTCCACCGTTGTATGAAAAATCGAGCTTTAGAGAGCCCGTGCAATACAACGATCCGCAGACACAAGAGCCAATATTAAGTAGTGCTGCTGATGTAGATCATCGAGTAATCTCAATTCCAATGCCAACAGATGCTCACCTTCCTCATCGATTGATGAAAGGTGCTGATGTTGATCATCGGAATTTAATTAGTCTAACCGGTAGTCCAGCAAATAGTGCAGCTAATTCTGAATCCGTAGTACCAGTATCTAATAGTGATGGTTTGTGGTCTAACACTGATCAAGATTACCGGTAAATCTTCCTTTTATTATTTATTACGTAAGAATATCACTGTGTCACTTATTGATTTTTATTTTAGACAACAAGTTCAACCTGGAGATATTGTTGAGAGCGTTGACATGGAAATGTCAGACGAAGAGACAGAAGGGACTAAGCAGAAAAATCGAGTTCTTGTCGATGTAAGACCTCAAGATCGTGATTCACGACCTATTCCTGCTCCTCCACAACCAATACCACCACATCACATAGATATGGACATGCGAATGATGCCAATACCGAATAATCCTCTTATACGTGGACAAATGCCTCCAGATATGCATAACGTTCATCCAGGACCTATTCCTGGTGCATCGTTCCATCATTCCCAAGACTTTAATGTTAATCAACCTCCAGATTTCAACCGGAATCCGGAAGAATTTAGTTCTAATTTAAATTGCCGGCCAAATTTACCTCGTCCAGGCTTTATGCCTAATCAACAATCAGAGTTTCCGCCAGACTTCCAACCTCAACAAGATTTTCATCAACCACGTCCAGAGATGTATGATTTTCAAGATACCTCACATCAAAGACTGCCGGGCCAAGAATATCATGATGATTCATTATTGCGTAACAGATATCCACCACCAGAACATCTTCATTCACATCCACCACATCACCGAGATTCACCAATGTTTTATAGAAATGATCGAGGCGGAAGAGGGCGAGGTGCTTTCCGGAACCGTCGTGATCGTTACTCTGAAGACCATACTTTATCTCAGCGCAATTTACACAATCGCAGAGGACGTCAAGAACAAGCAGAGAATCTTGATAACTTAAATAATCAATTATCTGCACTTCAGCCTCCAGAAACTGTAGTAATATTTGACGATAATGGAATACCAATAATGCCGGATAATACTGATTCTGTAGCACATCCAGGAAATAGTATTGAAGAGCCAAAAGAGGAGCTTCGGCCTCCCGGACATTCTAGTCCTGTGCCTGACGAAACATCAACAGTAGATGGACCAACTGAGAGTAATGACGTGCCTCCAGGAGATGTTGAAGAAATTGCTAGTGAAGACAGATCACAAGAAGGTTCAGTTGCACGAGCAGATGAGCCTCCCAGAAATCTTTCGGAGCATTTAGAAGCTCTAATGAATTCCGGTAAAACAGGTGCGAATGAATTAAAAAGACAATCATCAAATGGTAATTTAATTGACCAACAGGATGATGAAACGGTGGCGGCTAAAAAACGAGCACTTTTGCCTAATGGTCCTCAATCTTCTACAACAGGTACTAATGGACCTCATGGGGCGACGGAGTCACAACCTGGGATGGTATTTGAATATGATGGGCAACACGGAAGTCCGAACTTTCGTGCAAGATTACCCACATTGACATCACCAACATCCGGAAATCAATTTGGAGCCTGGAGAGGTAACAGTCCACGCGGCAGGGGAGGTTTCAGAGGTTCACCCCGAGCACCTTGGAGTGACAGAGGACCACGAGGACCTCCTGCTGGCAATTTTTTGCCACGAGGAATGAAACGCGGAAGTCCATTCCGTGGTGGTAGCGGTGGATTTAGGGGCAGGGGTAGAGGGACAGGCAATTGGTAAAATGGTTGATCAAGTGGAATTATTAATTGAAAGCTTGATATAAGAATAAGATTGGTAATTGAGAGGATGTATAATCATCGTTTCTATTTTTCTTGTAAATAATGTAACAATTTATAAAAGGATCATCACTGCTCATTAAAAAAAAAAAGAAAAAATTATAATTTGCTCTACAGAGCTGGATTGATCCTTCTCATTCATGCGTACAAATGTGTATGTATATGCGTAAGATTAATAGGTAGAGTGAGGGGTTATTTTAAAAAAAAATGCGAGTTGTCTCAGTGAATGAGCTCTCAATCTCTCAAGGGATTTAGTTGATGATACGGCAAATTGTATAACGTAAATTCTAACGACAGACGTAATAAGAGTTTGTAATATAAAATAGAAGTAATCAAAACGTACTAATTATGTCAATATCATTAATTTTCTTTTGTCTGATCGTCTTGAGAAAAAAAACGAATAAGAAGCGAGTGTATTAATGGAATTAGTTATTATTAATACTTCAGCTTTGACTTTATAAGTATTGAAAAGATTATAAATTAACCTAAAACACTCGCTTATCACCTCGTATTTTAGGCCGTATTATCAAAATGACAAATTATAAGCACAGACATGTCAACAAAAATTACTTTCAAAAAGTGTAATAATAAAATACAATAATTAAGTTTTCTCCAGTTCGTGCACTTCCCCTTGCTTTTTCCGAAATACGTTGGAGTAGGTGAAAGCATCATTTACAGTTACATTTAATAAATATATTGATAACAATATTACCTATCGCTATTGTTAAATGCGGAATTATTAATTACATCAATAAATTGTCAATACTACTGAATGCTGGTAGCTAACAATCAAATTATAGACCACAACGATAACATCATTTACTGATGTTATCACCAGCAATCAGTGTAATAAAAATTCTGTGTAAAAAATTTTATTCATCATAAATTCAGATGAGTTTCATTTACCTAAGCGTTATTATTTGGGATAAATAAATTTATTCTTATCGCCAATTACATAAAAATTTTTAAGATGATTTATTTATAAATCAAAAGAGCCTATAAATCCTTCAACATTGTTAAAAAGAAGTTAGATGAGATATTTATTGACATTCTAAGATAATTGGGTTATTTAATCCCAAATAATGACACTAAAAGGTAATAATGATCTAAATTTTTATTGAATTAAAATTGTTTTATATAGAATTTTCAAATTTCATCGAATATGCACTAGCGACACAGGTTTCCGTATATTTCTTTCTTGGCAATATCGTACGAATCAATAAAACTGTGCTTCCCCTTCAAAAGCTTTTATAAATGCTATAGACTCAGTTCTTTAGGGCCATGAATCAATTAAAACTGGCTGTGATAAGAATTTTATTTGTATTGATATCATTATTAGAGACCGGTCTCTGGATAAAATATTATTTGTAGTTATTTTTATTAATTCTGGGGGAAGAACCCTTCTATATAAACATGATCATTTTTATTTTCAATCATCGTTTATGCAAAATTTATTGTTAGTTTAATGATTCTATTTAGTTGAAAGCAAATTAATAGTATTCGGAGACATGATGAGAGATAATTCCATTAATGTGTCTCTTCATTAAATTTGAATACCCAGCTAATGATGAAGCTCTAAATGCTTCCTTCGTGATTCGAAGTTAACAAATGTTTCGGAGATTTGTGTAATTTCAATATAATTTCTAGTCAGAGCGAATCATGGTTTTGTGAATCATTACTGATCTCAATCGATAGAAAGCGTGAATCGAAATTACTGAACCACATGATATATATTGGGCTTTTGTACAATTCAACAGAAAGGCGCGTAAAGAATCGCGCACGCGCGTGCTTTAAATTCTTTCTACACTAGTTTTTTTCACTATCTATTCATGTAAATAAATATTTCCTGTCTTTCGAAAAAAAGTTAATTCTATTGAAAGAACAAAGATTATGAAATATATAAAAGTTTTTATATGGAGAAATAAAAATGTATATTGCGTTAATTGACGCACAAAAAATTTGTAAAAACCGTACTCTGTAGCGCACTAATTGCATACTGTGTATGCGGATAAAAATTTTGTACATTGATTAATAAATTTTATTATAATAGTATCGTTATTTTTTATAGTAAAATATAAGAGTGAGTGAAAATAACTCTTGAAAGTTTTAATACAACTTTTTTTCATTCCCCTCTTCTGCATAAACCTAAACGTTGCGTGTACCAGAGGTCGATTTTTCCATCGCACTGAGAATCGCTTACAATCATGGGGTTGAAAACATAAACGGAGGCGTTGCCAGGATACCAGTAGGTCACGTACTATCCAACTGACCGCCAACCTGATGCATCTATGATATTAATTCCCGCCATATCTGTTCTTAACAACATCATAATTATTGTTAATAAATATATCTTCCACTAACTTTTTTAATTACTAATTCTTAATTAAGATAATAGTTTCCATTCTTATAATAACAACATCAAGCTAACAAGCTTTGTCACTTCTATTTTCATTAAATTAAAAAATAAATGGAATTAATGTTATATATAATGATCCAAAACCCAACCTAATGGTGAAAAGACCTAGAGATTAGTCTTAATACTCATTATCAGATAATAATTGATTATGTTGTTACAAAGATAATTTAAAAAATATTTTTCCCGGTATTATATTCCAAGTTCCTCGCCACCACAAAAATGATTAATTTCCTCTAATAACGATGTTATTTTGTAAATGCGTGATACACGTGAATTTTATACATCATATAGTGAATTGGCTCGGGTCGATAGAGCCTCCTCCACCCTCTTCACCACCTCTCTCTAACATTCTCTTGTTCTCTTGCTCCATCGTCCCTCCTCTTTTTCTAGTTTTCGTGAGCATGGCATGTAGAATACGACACTCTGTCGAGCTTTATCAGTAGTGCCGCGAACGCAGAAGAGTATACTAAGCCATGGAGAAGCATCTCCAAGTGTCCAAAGACTTGAACACGTTTTTCGGTAATTTTTTTCATGTTTAATCCTACTCTCAAGTTGATTTATCTAATTATCTCAAGATTAACCCTAATAATAATGTTAGTTTGAGATATCATTAATTATTTGGTCGCATTGTTGATAAAGTCATTGCGTGATAACAAGTAGTTTGCTAGCAATGACCATTGGTGTGATAGATTAAGTACGTATGCCATTTCATTCAAGCGAGGGTAAGCATACTGGATAACATACCTCAGAAATGTCTTTTAGAATGTCGTTTGGTGATGACAGTGTAAGTTCAAGGCTGATAGAGGTCAGGTATCAAAAATATACGGGTTAAAGATACAAATAAATGTTGTCTTTTGTGTCAGTTGGTCGTTATTTCATATCGATTTGACCTTTATTCTTTGTTTTCCTGAAGTAGGTTTGGTTTATTAGTTGTTTGATTTTTCTGTTACAGGATGATCAATCCGCTGCATCATCTAGACTATTTTTATTGGCTAAAATCCTGACACCATTTCAGACGTTTTCAAACTCGGTGGTCGATGGTACTCAAGACTTTTGTTGAATCTTCAGTGAAACAATGCTCTACGAACGTCGTCTCGTCATTTACTTCAAGAAAAGATTAAAACTGCCAACAATTTGGACCCTAACTCGTCACTTCAAAGCATTGAAACAAGATGAGCAAAAGTGTAGAGCTGCTTGCTGGATCCGAGGACGGTGAACGTGGTAAATATTGTCATAATACTTAGTTTATAATTTGAGTTTTTGTTAAAAAATTATCATTCAAATTTAGAGCAAGCTCAAGCAGATGACAGATCACGATTAAATTTGAATGGAAATAGACAACTTTCAAGAAGTGCAACTGAACTTCGTGCTAACAACGACAATGCATCTTCCTCTCGTACCCAATCAGCACAACCAAGTTCTCAACATCGTCATTCACATGTTCTTCACCATCATCGACATGTAGCATCTGTAGCACAACGTACCCATACATTCTTTGCAACGTTAAAGAGTCGTTGGGTGCGTGGTCGTAGCAAAGAAAGAAGAAAATGTAAGGAAATGCCATCAAATCCTCAAGATTCCCCTCATCGTAATGTTGGGGTGGAATCTGATTACGCAGCAGACTATTCATCAGAACACAGCAAGAGTTCATCAGCTACACACAGCCCAGCAAAAATAACATTAAATCATCCAGGTAATTCACGACCACCCATCTGCAATATTTATGAGAAAAATATTTTGAGACGCAGTTATTCAGAAATTAAATGAATAGGAAGAAAAATGTAAAGGGAATTGATTCAAAACAAGAAGAAGTTTTTCTACTATCAGTCTTTATTGCTTATGCACTATCAATCAATTATAGTTGTCTACCCACTTTATAATTTTAGTTAAAGACTTTTCATCAAATTAAACACTGAAATAACTATATTTTAGTAAACACTGCACACTTTGTTACACAATAAATCACACAAAAAAGGAAATCTGTCACAAATACTCTGCTACATGAAAATAATAGTTAAATACGATAATAAAAAATAAAACACATCACATGACATCTTCTTCAGGATCGATACAATGTGTTAATAATCAATACTAGAATAAATAGAAACGATGACCAAGCATTAGATACTTGTACTTATTTATATAGGTTATTCTATAATATGATATTATTTGTGTTTCAGTAGAATCTCCATTAGTCAAAGGAAAGGCCTCCCTTGAAGACAGTCCAGGAAAGTATTACGATGGTTCATCAAGAGTTTCCAATTATCTACGATATTATCGAGATAGTGAGGGTCAAGAGGAGTCATCATCAAAAATGGGTGATACAGAGGATAGTCATCAAAATGAGATTTCCCGACGTCGGGAATTGGCGCTTAGACAGCATGCTTTCTTCCAACTACGTTTGCACATTAGAAGAGGCGCCAATCTTGTGGCGATGGATCGATGTGGTAATACGATTACCTATTGATAAGAGTAATATTTCTACCATCATTTTTTCCTCTTTTTTGCTTCTACTTTACTTAGTAGTTTTTTTTTCGTTCCGCCTTTATTATTTTTTCTTACTTGTTGTTGAATTACACGTTGACGTAGCACAGTGATACTTTGTAGCTAGCAATTAACATCAATAAAAAAGTAAATTTTGTAAATCATTTCTCCCACGCAGGAGCAAGTGACCCTTATGTAAAGATCAAATGTGCTGGCCGATTGCTTCATAAATCTCGAACAGTGCATCGCGATCTAAATCCCATATGGGATGAAAGTGTCACTCTGCCTATAGAGGATCCGTTCGAGCCACTGAACATCAAGGTAATTGATGTTAATACATACTTCAAGTCCTTTCAAGATGATAAAGATCCGCAAAGGGAATAATAAATTTTCACACTCACGTGATAACTTAAACAGGTCTTCGATTACGACTGGGGACTTCAAGACGATTTTATGGGTGCTGCACTATTGGATCTGACCCAACTTGACCTGGGACAACCTCAGGATATCACTTTAGAGCTAAAGGATCCAGCAAGACCAAGGCAACATCTTGGAGAAATTTTTCTTACTGCAACATTATGGCCACGCAACCAACAAGAAAAAGAGCAGGTATTATTATTATTTGCTAACTTAAATTTCCTTTTATTGTTTCGTCTTCAATGTGTTCTTTATCCAACAAGATAAACATAAAATGGCTGGGAGACCACTTCCGTCTCCCAGCTCATTTCACGTCCTGTTAACTTATCACAGTCTTCCTGAAGTCAGTATATTACCTCTTGACTGCGTTGTATTGAATCATATGACGTTGGAGTGGATGTATATGGGTTTGTTTATAAATATCGCAGTGACACTGATGGATATATGATGATAGTACAGCGGGGAAAGGAAAGTCTCAAGTTGCTCTGTACTATCGGAGGAAAGAGCATGCATAATATTCCTCGTGGGATAAGTATTATGTTTTCCAATATTCCATTATCTATCCAACCAATGTGCCATTTCGATGGTGGTCAGAAAATGCTAGAAAATTTCTAGTTCATTTTTCTTTCTCATTATTCATTTCTTTTCCTCCTGCCACTGTGATAAGCTTTCAATTCAATATAGACCTTTTTCATCATCCCAAGAGCTTAGCCTTTATGTTCTAGAGGTCCGATAATAGCAATGATCCGACTTAGCACCACCTGGGATGATGTAATTGAAAAGATCATCAAATTTTATCTTCTTTCGATGTCTTTATATAGCTTTTTTTTCTTCAGAAATGTTCGTACCCGGAAATAGATCGTGAATGCTGGTAGTTAAGTGTCGTATAAGTTGCGATGGCTCTGTTGTAAGTGGATCATATATGTCTCTAATCTGGATAGAGAGCTAAAGAGAGGGGACACTATCCTATACAGCTGGTTGCTTCTGTACCGGTTGAAATTCAGTTTAGTTTAGTAATCATGACGATTCGTTTGAGGTTTTACTCGTAAATAGTAGGTAAAGATGGTGAAGTGTTCATGAGTACTGCTAAGATGAATAAAACTTGTGCTGTGATTAAATGTCCACCAGAATAATGAAAGAGTTTATTTCCAAATAACATAACACCGATAATCAAGTTATAAATTGATATCAATTAGAGATGATTAGAACTGGAAACACTTTCTTGGTCGAAATTCTTTTCAAGTGTAATAATGATAAAAGTTTAAGATTATGACATCTTGATAATTTTATTAATTTAATTACCTAATTAACTATAAACAATGACTTTTACAACAAATAATTAGAGATTTCGAAACATTTACTGGTAACTTTTTAATTTAAATAGCGTTGTTAAAAACAATTAGTGATGTAGACTAATAGTGTTGATGTATTTAGCTCGTGACTTCCTTGACTTCATTCATTTTGAAATATTCAAATGAACTGTATTTGTATTTATAACGTTTCAATTACACCGCAATTAAGTGTCTAGTTGACAGAAGACTAGGATTGATTAAAAGAGTGGAGAAAAAATACTCAATTTTACTCAGAAATGAAACTATGCATTTCATTGCTTTGATAACTTTCATAGCAAAAAAAAAGATATATTTTACATAAAGATTTGGCTTCAACTTCTACTGTTGATTTATCCGTAACTATGATTTCATAAAAAATTCATCAAAATAAAAATTCTAGTGATGAAGATAAAAAAAATATCAGCTGTAAAAAATTATTATAAATATTTAAAAATCTAAAATCAATAAGGTAAAAACATCTAGAATGAAATTATTCACAACGTTTATATGGAAAGTTGTATGAAGTATGTAATAATATGATATTTTATATGAATTATACCGCAACGTAATATTAAACTGCGCTTAATAAAAGAATACATCAGAGCACACCTAGTCTAATCCCCTCTTCCAAGCTATCATGAGTGAGGGTCTTTCGTCATGCAGTCGTTAACTTTGACTGTTATGTTATCGAATCGGCACGTTTATCCAACTTCAGCTCTGGTTATCGTCAAGCATGTGTATATGTGTGTATATAAGAATGAACCTGTTGGTGATGAAAAGTAAGCAAACACAGGCGATTACTCAGTTAAGAAAGAATTAGAAAAAGATAAATCGTGCACCTTATGATAACATTATATATTCTACCTTATGTATAGTTTTGAAATGAAAGAGACATCGGTGAGACTCAGTGAATAGAAATTGTATGAAGGCATTTTTTTCGTGTTTATTTTTTATTCTTTTTTAGTTACTGCTCTACTATTATGACAAACATAACATTGCTGTCTTACAAGTGTTGAGTAATAGTGTCTCATAAATAATTCATCCAGTCATGCAAAAACTGGAGGTAAAAAATAAAAATGAAAATATCCAAGATGTTGAAAATGACAGTGAAAACTCAAAATTCAAAGAAAATGCATTACATGTGAGTGATTTAGGTTGTTCATTGTTAGATCACGAGAATTGTCCTATATGTGAAAATATTTCTGAAGTTGAAGAAGAAAATGAAACTAAATCACAGCACTCTGGAGATGAAGAATTGAAAATTCCACTCATTTCACTGTCTGATGGTAAAAAATCTAAGACGTCAGTATCTCAGAATTTAGCGGGACGAGATTATTTGAGTTTACGTGAGAGAAAGTATGCTAAAAAAGCTGTGAATACTTTCAAAAGTCGCCTGGAGCGAAAAGTTGAAAATGTTGGAAGCATTCTAGAAGATAGAGTCGAAAAAATTTTAGACGAATGTACAGAAAAGCATCCTTGGCTTCATCCAATTGAAACTTGGATTTCTGATCGATGCAAAGCTCGAGCAGTGACACAAGAAGTTAAAAAACATTTTAAACGTGGCAGTATGTCTGAAAGTGAGGGGGATAACATCAGTGTTGATGGAGACAAAAATATTCTCAATAGAATTGAAGAATGTTCAGATAAATCTGACGATTCTTTTCATTCCGCCAATTCCCACTTTTCTGACTCTAAATTAATGCCAACAATTCTTGCTCCTGAAATTCAAGTTCACAATAAACACGAACTAAAACACGTTCGACATGACTTTTTTGACCGACTTCGTGGGGGATTTAAAGAGAAGTTGGATGATGTTACACGGGTATAATTAATTTTTTTACACGTTATTTATTCATTATGTCAATATTGAGTAATGATATACGTATAGCACATGATGAATCATTTTTTAACTTACTAGTAACTTGTAATAAAAAATTCATCATTTTTACCTTTAGTATTTTCAGAGAACGAATCGTCTAGCAGATGTGAATCGACGATTAAAATCTCAAATATGGAGCTCAGTAGTCACCATTGTTCTCGTCGAAGCCAAAAACCTTCTTCCTATGGACATCGATGGTCTTTCAGATCCTTATGTCAAGTTTAGGTAAATTGAAATTTTTACAACAGAGAAAAATAAATTCAACATGGGATTAAATTAACTATAATCCGGAAATTTAATTGGCAATCGGATAAGATTAGCAATGCTTTGATGGTCGTTGTTAAAAAGAATAAAAGTTGTATCGTAAAACTTGAAAAATAATGATTACTTTTCTTCTGTCGTACTTCTAAACCATTGTCAATACTAATTAAATGAGTTTGAAATAAGTTTTATTAAAATTTTTTTCCTTGTCTAAAGTTGAAGTTTATCAGTAAAAATTTTTTTAACATATATAATTAATTTATAAAACATATAATTAACCTTGATTCATTTATAAAAATGTAAATAATTAATTAATAGTAGGCGCAGTACAAGTTAATTTTAAAAGTCAATCAATCAATGAATAATTGTATTCTATGTACCACTCATAATCAAACAATTGTTAGTCATTTTTGCAAAAAAATTTTCAATTAATGATGGTAATAGAAAAGTATAGAGTCGATAAAAATTGCCATCAAAAAATATATGAACAAACTTCTTATTAAGGTACAATAGAAGCATGGAAAAAATATTAATTCTGAATCACATGAGAAATTGACAGTTTATTTTTTGTATTTATTATTAAACAAGTTGATATTAGCTTTTAATAAACACTTTCAGTAATAATACTGTTCAACTGATTCAAACAAAAGACTGAAATTTTATATATTTTATGGACAATTAATAAGTTTATTCAAACTTTGTACCAAATATTTATTAGATTTGTTACGCTTTGAGCATGATATAAAAGCTGTCAATTTTTATTTATGTATTGGATTCCTTATCTTTGAAATTGATCTTAAAATACGTTTTTTTGTTATAAATTGTCTAAACCCTGAGGGATCATCGTACTTTGATTATACTCATATTTTTTTATAAAAACAAATCTCAAGAAAGAATCTAATGAAAGTATATATTTTTTAAGATTGGGAACCGAAAAGTACAAATCCAAAGTTGCCCTCAAGACACTAAACCCAGTTTGGCTTGAACAATTTGACCTTCATCTCTACGAGGATCCATATCTAGGTCAAGAACTAGAAGTCACAGTTTGGGACCGTGACAAGAGTCATAATGATGATCTGATGGGAAGAACAACAATCGATCTGGCGAGCTTAGAACGTGAAACAACACATAGGATATGGAAAGAACTAGAAGATGGAGCAGGAAGTATTTTTCTTTTGCTAACAATCAGTGGAACTACTGCCAGTGAAACGATAAGTGATTTAGCAGCGCATGAAGAGACATTCCAAGAGCGTGAAAGACTCAAAGCCAAATATTCATTATGGAATACACACCAGAGACCTCGAGATGTTGGACATCTCATTGTTAAGGTACTTGAAAAATTTATTCAAGCACTTTTAAGCTCTGCTCATATTTAAGTATTAAAGACATTAAAATTCTAATTTTTGAATTTTTTATCATGATTTTTGTGTTTAACAGGTTTTTAGAGCACAAGGATTAGCCAGTGCTGACTTAGGAGGCAAGAGTGATCCTTTTTGTGTTCTAGAATTGATAAATTCAAGACTTCAGACTCAAACAGAATACAAAACATTGGCACCCAATTGGCAGAAAATTTTTACTTTGTAAGATATGAATAATATATTTTTCATTAAGTTATGAATAGTAATGATAATATGAATTGATTTTTTAATGTTTTTGGCATATAATATTCATCATTCAGAATTTTCAATAACAGAAGTATTGTTTTCAAATGATACATTATGTCTCCATTAACTAAAAACAAAAAAAATACGTTGGAAAAGTAAAAAAAAATAGAAATAATTATAAAACAAAACTTAATGGAAATATCAGTCAAAAAATATCAATTTTTTATGAATACTAAAAATGTAATGAATAGTTATAAAAATTTACTTTCATTTCAAGGCTTTGATTGATTATAATAATTTAGTTGAATTATTACTTTTAACTTATTTTCTCTTCAAAATCAATAAAAATTTATTTATTATTTCCAGCAATGTAAAAGACATCAACTCAGTATTGGAAGTAACAGTTTACGACGAAGATCGTGACCATAAAGTAGAATTTTTAGGTAAGGTAGCAATTCCTTTGTTGAAAATAAGAAATGGAGAAAAAAGATGGTATGCCCTGAAAGACAAAAAGCTGCGATGTCGTGCAAAAGGCAACTTTCCTCAGATTCTTCTGGAAATGACTGTGATCTGGAATGTACTGAGAGCTTGCATGAGAACAATAAACCCAAAAGAAAAAAAATACATGGAGCCTGAAGTGAAATTTAAGCGGCAGGTTTTCTTAAAAAATGTTTTAAGGCTCAAGGCTATCATAATGTATTTCATAGATCTAGGAAAATATATTCAGTAAGTTAACAAAGTAAATTGAGATATCTAGAATTAGAATTTCATGTTAAAGCATTATATGAATGTTTTATCAATGACTATATTTTACTTTTAGGAGTTGTTGGGAATGGGAAAGTAAAACCCGGAGTATTGTTGCGCTTGTATTGTTTATTCTTGGTTGTTACTATTTCGAGCCCTACATGTTACCCGCAGCAGCATTACTCATAATGCTTAAATACTGCTTAGTGTCATTATTAACGAGTTCGCAGAGCTCTTTATCCTATTCAACGTCCTCGAGTTTACAGGATCCAGATGTCAGTGTGGAAGATGGACCCCCTACACCTGGAGATGATGATGACGATGATGAAGATAAAGACAAGGTGAATTAAAGTGACATATTTCATTAAACGGTTTTTCTTTTTATTTATACAGTAATTAAAAAGTAATTCAGACACAGAATAATAATCTATTTTATGTGTAGGAAGAGAAAAAAAGCTTAAAAGAGAGACTTCAAGCAATTCAAGAAGTTACCCAGACTGTACAAAATTCCATTGGATATATAGCAAGCCTTTGTGAGAGAGTTAAAAACCTTTTCAACTTCACAGTACCATATCTTAGCTATCTTGCGATGTTTCTCGCAGTTCTGGGTGTTATCGTTCTCTATCTAGTTCCTGTGAGGTATCTAATTCTCGGCTGGGGTGTTAACAAATTCCTCAGAAAAATTCTCAGACCTCATTCAGTTCCCAATAACGAAGTTTTAGATCTTATTTCTCGTGTGCCTGATGATGAAGATTTACTTAGCTACAGGTATATTTAAAAAAATATATTTCTATCATTAATGTGATTAATAATTCAAATTATAATTTGATTTTTTATTGATAAAGATGATCAGCTGAATTTGAGTACTCAGTTAATAATATTATTAAAGTAACTATTCCATAAAAATCTATTAAAAATTATTGATAATTCAAATAGGTGTTATAATATTTACTTGAGTTGAAAAAAATGACTTTTAGGAATTTTAGGAATCAATGATAAGTCGTCACTTTTGATATTGATAAAATGTTATATCATTACTAGAAATAAAATGTTTATGTCAGTAATCTTCATATCTGCTGATAACATTCGAGTACATACCTATTATCTAATATTTATATATCTATTATTATCTTATTATATATATCTTAATTATATATATCTTATTATATATATCTTTTATTATCTATTATTTAAATTTGTAGAGTTAACGATACACTCTCAATTTAATGATATGATAAAGGAATATCTATTTAATATAATGAATATATTAATCAAAACAAAAGTTGACAATAGCTGCATGCCCCAATGTTAGAAAATGACATCAAAACTAAAATAATGGCGTTATTTAAAGCTGGGGGTTTTGAATAGATAGCAGACTAATGTTAAAAAGATTAAGTCATTAAATAAGATCAAAAGTTTTTGTTACTCTAAAAGATTTAATCGGGCTTATAATCATAAATTATGAAGTAAAACATATCATTGATTATATGAGAATACTGAGTAAACGTTTAAATTAGACCCGTAAATATTTTTAACCCCTTTATTTTCTTTTATTCATTTCTTTTGTTACAACTTACCAGTAATTTAATTTTTATCACAAAATACAAAAGTGTCCTCTCTGATCATTTTAATTGGAAAAACAACGTTTTAACTCAATAATTGTTTAAATATTTGAAATGCACTGACCTGTTATTTAAGAATTTAAAACGTGATGAATAAAATAATAGAGAAATATATACATTGTTTGATAACAAACAAACAAGATCAAAAGACTAAGTATGAAACGTTTGTTCACAGGGAACTGAAACCTATGCCAACGGCAGACTGTGAAAAAGGAACAGGCTCCAGTCCAAGTATTAACGCAACGAGTAGAAGAGAACAAAGAAAAAGACATAAAGCAGCGTAACAGAACATCCCGCGGCCGGATGTCGCGGGAGTGCGGTCGTCAAGCATCTTAAGATCAGTGTTGACTCGCAAAAAAAAAGTCTTACCATATTCGCCGTAAAATTTTCTTCGACAGATTGTATGAAAAATGATGATAAAGACTGAGGATGAGTTAGAACAAGCGATTGCTTCCGTAATGATAAGTTGACGGAATCATTTTCTAGTCAATAGTCCAGAAGTTATTAAAAACCTGTGATGGAACAAGAAGAGAAATTTAAAATATAAATAAAGAATACTAACATAAATTAATAAATTTATTACTTAATTGAAAAAAAAAAAATTAATAAAACGTTTAAGAAGAATTTTCAGCACTTGAATTGTTGTTTTTTTTAAATAGCTAAATTATTCGAAATATCGAGGAAAAATAGTTATGAATGTTGAATATTGTTGAGGGAGAAAATTATGAAGACAATTTTTATCACAAAAAAATTGTTGTGCATATTGCGTCCATCAATGTCACTTAGGCTACGTAGTTTTAAGCTGCGCGTAGTAATTACGCATGTGATGATTTTCAAAGATAAAATAATAACGATTAAGTGAATTAATGAAATAATAGATTATATGGGGATTACCCAGCACCAGGGACTGGCTGAAGCGCAATGTTCAATCCTCTCGAAAAAGAAAGTTTTATATGCAATTGTATGGAATATTTGAACTTTTCCTTGATACTATTTCATTCATTCGAATTCTTATAGTAAAAAAACTAATTATCTATCTATCAGTTATTGATATAATTATTACGATAACGAATTTTTCTATCTTTCTGTGAATTCACTTATTTCTTTCATCAATGAATTAAATGAAGTGCATATACTTCATAGTTAATATCGTATCTAACTATTTTTCAAAATCAAGATCTAAATACACATCACACTTACACGATTAAATAAAAGTCCTAAAAGCTGAGTATTTTATTCAATGTCTGGATATTTTAAAGATGGATATATTTTATTCAGGAGAAAAAAATATATTTTATTTTATCTACAGAGTTCTAAAAAATTTAAATAAAGTAGAGACATGAGTAAAATATATTGAGGAGTAATAATTTATTGTGAAAAAAAATTTAAGTGGTATTAAAATAACTCATCGATTATATGTACTAATATATTTTTAATTATTACATTATTTTAGTTGATGGTTAAAAGAAACAATTCTTAAAAATAGTTGAGATGTTTAGAAAATAATTTAGCTATGATTTAGTTTTCAATTTTGATTACGGGTAATTTAAAAATGAATTATAAGTTGTGTAACATATGGGTTAGTCTTGAGAGAAAGGTGTTACAAATTCCACTGGTAAATGATTTCCTAAAAAATTAGCATCTGACTGAGAATGATTTACATGTGCCAGTATTTTTATGCAACATTCAAATAATTTCTGAGAGCTAATTTAATTTAATTAAAGAATTTATTTCAATATCATTTAAAATACTTTAAATTAATCTGCAACTAAATATTCTAAATATTAAGTACATAATGATTCTTTAAAAATCATTGTTTACATTAATACATAAATATATTCTAAATTATTATTAAAATATTTATTAATCGAATTTTGTTCCATAAGAAAACGTTTTGGAGTATAATTAAAACAATTTATTTATTTATTATTCGAAAGATATCCACAGTGGAATTTTTCCTAACAATTCAATTTATAATATATATTTAATTATCTTATATAACAAAATAAAATTACATCGTCGAAGGAGTAATTAATTTAATTAATTCTGTAACAGTAAATACAAAACAACCAAAGCTGTTACTACATTATATTTGATTGCTTTAAAGAATTTAATGTCATCAGTTAATCGATAAAGCCATGGCTTAAGTCATTAGCTTTATAATTAACTGATAATGAAATAATACTAAAGTTCTAATTATGAGAATTTAGAGGTGGAAAGGATAAATTAGATATCAAGCATTTCATCAGAACGAATATCCAATTATTCTATAAAATTTTTTGTAAAATATCAATCCTATTTAAATTATTTGTTTATTGAAAAAAATCATTTTATTCTACTTTCTTATCAGTATTTCAATCTCATTCATAATTCATTATCTACTTTCATCCATTTATTAATAATACAATAATGATAATAGTCTATTATATTAATAATAAAAAATAAATTAATCAATAGGCTAGAAATTGTGTATAAAATATACACCAAGTCTCTCTTGAAGCCGTTGGAAGGCACAAATAATGATTTCAATGTAAACCTTTAGCAATAAAAATTTACAAATTTATATAGATTTGATTAGAATATGTACAAATGAAGAAATGAATATCAATCAATCGTACATTTTTTAAATATATTTATAAAACAAATATTTATCCAATCATCATATTAATTATTATTATTATGATCGTGATTAATATCATAAAATATTTATGAAAAATTTTTATTCAGACATTGAAATTCAACTAGCCATTAGTACTTTTATTTGTTACTAATCAGATTAAAAGATGTTCAATTTTTGGGATTGTATTATCATTGATAGAAGTGATATTTTCTCTAAGAGTGTGATTGTCTTTTTTCTATGTATTTTTCTACTCTATCAAATATGTTTGTATTATCTTAATGAATGGTATTATATTTGAGAAAAAACAAGAAAACATATTACTCCATAATTATTCAATATTCTTTAGTAATACCTGCTGAGTTCTTCCTCATTACATATTTCATTATTGGATTTTTACTAAACCAAATGACTTACATTAAAGAGACACTAGTCACAGAATTACTTTGAACAATTGATGAAAAAAAATTATATGACTAGAAAAAGAATTATTATAAATATTACATATATTTTTTATTGTTATTGTATTAACGAATTTTTCATGTAAATTTTTTTGTGCTAATAAATTAGCACAATTTTAATTAGGTAAACAAAAAGTATAGAAAAAGTAATTGCGATTGGTCGGTCCGATTAATCTCGCACTAGCATTTTTTATTTAAGATCAATATAAATATAATTATACATGATCAATAAGGATATGAAAAAGAGATAAATGACATAATTGTATATTAACAAAAAAAATCATTTATTGAGTTTTATCGATGAATATATTTAAAAATTATAGCAATTATATGGATTAAAAAAAATACAAAATTATAAGAAAGCGCACTCATTTGAATCGAAGAAAAGCACCAATTGTCTTCGTTACAAATTTTAGACTGATATGATTGGATAAACTAAACAAGGCAGTTTATGTTGCCTTCCCACCATTATTCAGACGTGAAAATAGGTTTAACGTCTAGCTATGCTTTATTCTCGTTAAAGTTTGCGTACTTGAGACCCAAGAGTCGTTGTTATATTAATGATAAATAAAAAAATTTACAAAACTGGAAACAAGCGTTTCTTTCATAATTTAAGATACTGAGATAAACAGATTAAGAGATAAGAAATAAAAAAAAATTAATTGACCTGAAAAAAATTTCTTTTTTCATTAAGAACACTTTCTTTGTAATAAAAAGTATTATTTATATTATTTCACTTGTATGTTTCAATTAGTACACTTTATTTAATTTTTAATTAATTCTGTACTCATTTACTAATTTGTTTGCTTAATTTACTATTGAATTAATTTATTTTTTACTCTAAAAACGTTATTAATTACGTTAATTGTTTTTCTTTTCAAAACATAGACATTTATCAATTTGATTAAATTTCATTTTGTAACTCTGGTGTATTGAACAATTATTTTGCAATATTGCATTCATTTAATCAATAATTTTCTTAACATAATCAATTATAGTTCTAATCTTCTTTAATTCTAATACTTTGTATTTTTTAAAGATTGTAAAGATCTACTGTTTTTTTTAGGATTATTCATTAGTAAGCTATTCAGTATGTACTAAATTTTTAAAACATTATTTAAACTTTTTCTAGGATACTCAATAATCGTAATTGCTTAACATATAGATATCAAATGATAAATGATAACTTACATGAATGTTTGACTATGACTCTATTTAATTCACAATCATTAATTATTGCACTTTTTCTACGTGATCAATATAGAATAGAAAGGTAAACTTCATTCGAACAGTAAATATAAATGTTTCAATAATTTATACTCTTTTATTGTTAATTGAACTTGGTATTAATGATCAGCCCCTGGATGTCTGACCTCCAGAATTCAAAATATTCATAAGAAATTCATGTTTGACTAATTCGTCAACATATCTGTAACCTGAAAAGCAAGACGGAATTTAATTTAATGAACCCATGTGCATATTTTATTTTTAATTAATTTCTTCCATGTTTTCATTTTAAAATATTATACATTTCCTGCCATGGCCTAGTCCAATAATTCTTGCTTGTCCATTTCACTTTTTATGTGTTATATTTTCATAACTTTCTAATTATTTCCTATCAATCAAGATTAAAAAAAATTCTTTAAAATATTCTGTAATTGGGTATAGAGTAGAAAGAATGATACAAAAATCAAATGAAGGAAATTTTTGTATAATTAAAATCTTAGATGTTATAAAAATATTTTTTGAGATAGAAATCTCAAGTACAAGCAATATAATGAATTAATTGTCGTCTGTTTGAAGACTTTCAATTTCTTCTAAAGTACTAAAACTTTCCAACTGTTACTTAATCTAGAGGGAAAGCTTTATAGAAGTCTTTGAGTTTAATATTTTTGTAGAAAAGTTGATCCTGATAAAAAAATTCACTTTTCATCTATACATGTGATCTCATTATCACAGCTTATTATCATTAGCTTAAAAAATAACCATGTTATTATTATCACTAAAGAATGACTTGAAATAATTATGAAAGCTACCAATGAAACAATTCAATCTCAATAGTCGATTCTTCCATGCATCATAATGATTTCCATTTTTCACTTTTCGAATGGCAACAAAAAATAGAGATGTGATTATATTTTTCCATTCTAAAAAATTCTGACTTACAGCTATTGAAGGGTCCAACTAGGTTCCAAGTCGTCTATTCTATTTGATGGTATGAATATAAATTTTTAAAAATAATTTTTAGTGACTAGTTATCAGAAAAGAATAACAGAATAGTGTCAAGAGGATGTTTCTAGACCTTTGACTGATAAAGAGACATTGATTCAGATTTGTAAAAACGACAGTTCAATTTATTTCAAATGATGATATAGCACTCATTTTTAAGAATATTTTATGTATTTTACTCCTGAGATATTCGTAGCTTGTTTATTTATAATTTTTAATAATTAAAAAATCCATCATCTTGATTTTTCACTCACGAAAACTGTTAATACATGCTTTTTATAGATTAATGAACATTGAACAACTTTTGATGA